TGTGTGTGTGTGTGTGTGTGTGTGTGTGTGTGTGTGTGTGTGTGTGTCTTTCATCCAGGAGCAGATTTAGATAGCTCCTGAGCGGGTGCATACCTGCAGCCAGTCAGGAGCACAAAGCAGTGTAGCCAAAACTACATGACAACAGGCTTCAGTACTATTACTTCCAAAATAAAAAGCAATTGGCATACTTTGGGAAAAAAATCCAGATATCAAAGAATGTATGTTATGTGATTGAACTTGGATAAAGTTCAAAATGAGTCAAAACTAATAGTTTCCCTTGACATGGGACTGAAAAGGGGGGGTTTTGAGGATCTTGTAATGAACTGACTCTTTACCTAATTTTTATGTTTGCATAAGTTTGTCAGTTTATGAAAATCCACAAATACATTTTGTGCTTTTCCCATGCATCACACTTTAATGAAGAGTAATTGTAAAAGTTAAGCCAAAAAAGAATGGTGAGTTATATTATATTCACCATTATATATTTTATATATATTCAAAAGAATAGCCGGAGAAATGGTTGTTTTTTGGGGGGGAGGATCAAGAATACAAGCAGGAATTTTGAGCTCCTCAGTTAAATCCAAGAGAGAAAAATGTAAAAGCAAATAGAGCATAATCAACATGCTGGCAGCTCCATTTCAGAATGAACAGTGCACTGCGGAGGTTGCCCACTGGCTCTGGTGTGGTGCCCACTGCACTCTGAGTCTGACCTACTGCACACATAACCTCCTCACTTAATCCTAGTAGCCTTATGAGGCAGATGGCAGATTCTCAGTGGAATTAAACTTATTTTACATTTCTAAGACTTATCACATTTCCAATTCTACAAAAGAAAAGATTGGAATAATCTACTGAACATAACGGCCAAACTGACTACAAGTTGATTGTTTTTTTAATCGGTGAAAACATTCACCAGGAAAGCACCAGTACTTTAAATTTTTCATTTTTAATAGTCTGTTTTCAAAGAGAAAAAAATGAAAATGAGGATTTCTATTGTCATTGCCAACTGCAACAAAATTTTTCCCTGGAATGGTAAAAAGCTAATCCGGCAAACACTGAAGCCTTAAAGAGGGTACCAACTCCCACACTCCCTCTAGCTTACCTGTCTAATGCTCCCCGGCTCTATACTTCGACTCCTCCAAGATTCAGAAGTAGCCATGCACTAAGCTATGTCACACATAAGCCAGAAGGAAGAGTATGGTGGTGATAATTAGTAGCAGTCTTTGCTGCCTCCTATCAATTTTTTTTAAGGCATAAAATTATGGCTTGTTTGAGAAAAATGTTAGAAGGTAGTATTCAGACAGAGAATACTGTAAAATATCCCATTGGATATGGTATTGTCAGGTAAATACATATAAAAATGCTGTTCTTACTTCTCTGGTGTCATCAGCAATCACAAACTTCTTGCATGGTTCCTTTATTTGGTGTTTGAGTTGACCAAGATTCTCTTTCACTGTTTTAATGGTAAAGGCATCGAGATTGGCACATATCTGGAAAAGAGACACTTTAAGCCTTCCTTTCTTACAACCGAATGTATACGTTGGTGTAAGGCAATTACAGTAGGCATTTTAGCATAAATATGTGGCATACCATCTAGAAAGTAGTCAGCGTTATTCACTGAATGCGGCATTTTAGCACTGCTTACTGTGGATTTCATTAACCAATGATAATCAATACTATTTGCTCTGCTGTCTTCCAAAAGTATATTTGGAGTCTAATTCTAGATTTTCATTTTGTCGCTGTAACATAAGCCTTAAAAAACTAGAAAAATTGTACAAATTAACAGGCATTAACTATGGAGAAACTATTACCTGATTATATCAGGCAGCCATCTTCACGCTCATGTTGATGTTCATGGACCATACTCCCATTATTGTCTATACAAAAAAGACAGCACACTGGGAGGAGCTGCCTTAGTCTTTGTGCCTAGATCATAGGTAGAAGTTAGGCCTTTATCCCAGTAATGAGTTGAGTCTTGCAGCCAATCCTTTTCTGACTCTTGTTTGCTTTAATAATTTCTATCAAACTACATACAATGAGAGGCTTAAGCACTCTGACCTACTTACCACTTGAGATCAACGGCAGTGCTTTAAATGACACCCCATCTGGGGAAGCTGGTTAGTGCACCTTTAATAATAAGATCCTCACATCTGTATTCCCCACTTCCCCAAGCCTTTATTTTGAGATGGTCTTCCTCTGAGGCACTAGTTGGTCTGGAACTCACTATGTCAACTCCTAAACTCATAGCTATCTGCTTGGCTCTGCTTCCTTGGTGCCAGGATTAAAGGCAGGAACGACGGCATTGGCCTCTTTTCTATTTTAGAGTGAATAACCCATGTTCCGCAACAGCACATAATGGAAAGAGACAGAGACAACATGCCACTTTGAAAGTCATGGAGTAAGAAGTCATTGGGAATGAAAACTATCATTCTTTGTTCTGTACCCCAGGTATTTATCAGGACTATCACCTTGGTATAGAAGACAGAGGCTGTTTTCTAGAGGCAAACCAAATAGCTTCTGGCTCGTGAACTCTCGACACTATTTAAAATCCTAAGAACCATGGGCATTTGGTATAGTATTTTTTTTTTTTTTTGGTTATACACAAACTCAGCAACTTACATTTAAAATATGTTTTTCAGCCTCAGATTGCTTTTTGGCTGCTCCGACACCAGGTGAAGCTGTCAGTCCTAGTATCTGTGGCAGGTGAACTGGTGGTTTGTTTTGTTTCTTGAGGCTGTTGTTTTTCAGCTTCTGCTTCAGATACCGTCTCATGATGTTGTTGTAGACTGCCTCCTTGTTGGTGTGATGACACTCATCAATGATAATGAGGGAAAAGTCTTAACAGAAAGATAGAAGGTCTGTTTACCCAAACCGGCTTGTTACAAAAGTTGCATGTGTGTGCGTGTGCATGCATGTGTGTGTGTGTGTGTGTGTTGTGCACACGCATGTGCATTTGTGTGTGTTAGAAGTAATGGAAGAATACTGTACATGATTTAGTAATGATATGCTTATGCAAAAGCAAGCCATCAAGTTAACCCTTTCTCCGTTTTTGGTCCTTTTTTTTCAGGGAAGTAGAGCGCTTCAATGAAGCCTTGCGAAATAAAAAGTAACTTAAATAAACTAAGGTCACTTCTCATCATAAAAAGATGAGTTAACAAGCATTCTCTGTTACTATCTTTAATATTTCTCTCAGTCTGTATTTTCTAAAAATAATCACTCCAACCAACCTGACAGCTGCACACCGTCATCTTCTCCACTCTCCAGATTTAAGAGGGAGTTTTCAAGGATTTGAGCTGTGCTGATAATAACATCGTAAGATTTGACAACTTCTGGAAATGATATTTTCAGCTGGGTATCGCCGCTTAATCCAATAATGCGATACCATTTCTTCAAAAATGGGTTGAACTCTTTTCGGAAAAGTTGTTCTGCTAACATTACCTTAAAAATGAGAACATACAGAATTTTTCAAACTTCATAAAAAATAGAGAGTGAAGAAAAATGAAAGGCACAGAGGAATATCAAAGGATTATACATGATCTATTAAGAGAAATGTTTACTTTCAATCAGTTAGTTTGATATCACCATCTATATATCATGCCTTCTATTCATCTGATATTATGTATCCATCGTGTTTGTATTAGATGTAGACATTATATCTAGAACATAAAGGAATTTAAGATAAGGCTGCTGACTTAGAGTGACTCAGTGTTGCCGAGTATGTATGTATTCTATGACTAAGAGAACAACCTATCACACACGATATAATTATTCTTCCAGAGAGACACAGCAGTGACACCACAGAGGAAGAACATCTGACCTCTCAAAGGAAGGCTTGGAGGGGCTCTGGTAAGCTGTGGGTCAGTCAAGAGTTAAGTTGAAAGTGTGAGTGATATTGAATTGATTCTTAATTTGTGGAACAGAGTCAGCTGTGACCATTAAGTGGAATATTAAATTCTACTTAACAGTTCTCAGGATACCCAAGTTGGACTCCAGAGATTATTTTTTCTTAGTGCCTAGGATTCTGCTAGAGACTATCTAACCACAAAATTGGAAAGAGCAGGGAACTGGGCAGTAGCATCAGCACATTTATTATGAGCATGTGTGGGAGAAAATGAACTACCACAATGGCTTTGGTGTCTGAATAAAAACAAAGTGCAAGCAAGGGTAGGAGAGGTGGAAACTCACTTCCATTCTAACCAACTCAGTATGTCACAATATCTGCTGAAAGTAGCTGCTGACACCTTGGTGACACCTATAATTGCTAGTCACTCAGAATACCGCACAGACTGAGAAGGACACAAGTTAGGCTATCTTATTCCTACTTTTTTTGTTTGTTTGAGAAAGGGAGTAATCCCTGAGTCCAGGTTGGCCTTGAACTCCCTATATAGCTTAGGATGACCTTGAACTCCTGATCCTTCTGTCTCTACCTCTTTTTAGTGCTGGAATTATAAGCATGCTCCTTGAAGATTTGGTTGTAGTACTGAGGACAGAACTCCCTGCTTCATGTGTGCTAAGCAATTGCTCTAACACCTGAGTCAAGCTACTTTGAGAGTTTCCTTCTAGGAGGATGTAAAATGGAATTCCAGAAGCATATAGTTACGGCAAATAGAAAGCTGATAGGAAGAATGTCAAGGCCAGGCTTTGGCGAATGTACACTCTACCCCTCCTAATGTGATTGTCTGATAATGTGGTCACTGTTGGACAGTCTTGAAACTCACTCTGGGTGGCACTGACTTCCCACTGAAGGACACAGAGGAAGCCAGATGCAAGTCTGACATGGCTAATTGGGAGGTGTGTGGTCCTCTTGGAGCCTTTTCCTGAGATGTGACAGAGTGTGTGCCAAGACTAATCAAGCCCAACTGCTCCCCACTTCTGCTGAATCATATGGGGCTGCATTACAGCATCTGAAGGAACCTGGGACTTCTCTCTCGTGATGTTGAAGCCCTAGATAGGAAATGGAAAGTCTGGGAGCACAGGTGGTGTTTGCATTTCTCTCTGCACTTGAAGGCTATAACTTTGGAAAGGATGGAGACGCAAGTAAATGGTATTAGAGACCAAGATTTCTGTATTCTAGATTGAAAGCTAAAATATATTATAAGTGGGCTAGACACGAATATGCTACATTCCTAAATCAGAGATTTCAGAGAAAAAAAAACCCACATCAATAATTAAAGCTGAAGTTTCTTTGAATATATTTAAGAGAAAACTTACAGTAAATGATTATGGTGTAAATGAAGGCTTTAGTCATCTCAAAGAATACAAGAAGGGGAAAAAGAGGACTGAGTGATGTTGTCAGTGCTGTCAATGGGAAAATGTCATTGGAAAATTCAGATTTCATATTTAGAACTAAAAGCTTTGATAGTTAATGGGGAATTTTCAATTACTCTATTAAATATTTACACATAGCCACAAACACTGGAATATCTTTGTTTAGTTTCATAGCTTTTAAAAACAGATACTAAGTACTTGGATTTTTTTTTAAGTATCTAGCTCACAGACTACGCTAAAGTGGGCACAGGATCCACACAGACCACATAGAACCAATAAAATCTGCTTCGATTATCAAAAGAATCCAATAAAATAGATACAAATAATGAAAATCATAAACATTAAATGTGCCTGTAAATATGCATGGATAAGAAATACCTAAATTTTATGGGTCAAAAGATTCCTAAGTAGAATAAATCACCAAGCAAAAGAATGTTCATATAAAAAAAGGTACAATAAACCATTATAAAATTAGATCTAGGGCTGGAAAGGTGGCCCAGTGAGTAGTTAAGAACACTTGGTATTCTTTCAGAGGACTCAGATTCAATTCCCAGCATCCATATGGTAACTCACAACTATCTGTAACTCCAGTTTCAGAGGATCCAACACTCTCTAATGGTTTCCATGGGCATCAGGCATGCACGAGGCACACACACACACACACAGAGGCAAAACACTCATACACAAAAAAAATTAATAAAAATAGATCTAAAATGATCAGACAGCATAAAGAAGAAAAATATTGAGCGTTTACATTGAAGCCTGAAAATTAGTTGTAGAAAAGTAAATTAAGAAGGTTTTAGCTTAGTATGGATTCTCATGTACAAATGTACCCAGTCCTGGACTGAGCTAGACCTCATCCCTCCTCTATTCCACATTTCTAAGACAGCATCTACCGCATTTTGTCTGATGCTCAACACTGTGTCTGGGAGACTATGAGGATACCAAATCCTGCGAGGCCTGGGACCGATAATGAAAGGAACTATGGGACCTGGCATCCACAGGATGTTGCCCTTTCTTTGTAAAGGGCTGTTGCAAAGCAGGAGAGTTGTGTTTATGCTCCAAGATGACAGAGGAAAGAACAACTCTGGGTTTCAGAGAACACACGAGTTTGAGAGAACACATGCATGGATTTCTTTGAGTGGCAAATGTGGAAAGAATGGCTGTGGTTGTTTTGAAAGACAGGAAATTTCCTTAGTACCAGGCCTCAACCAGGAGAAGTGACACGTGTCTTCGCAAAGGAAGAAAGCTACATCACAAAGGTCTTCTCAGCTCTTATAGTCTGTGGTCCTATGACCAGATGAGGGAAATAGAGGAGAAAATCAATGAAGGATAATTACTGGGCTTTGAAGCTACATGATTTAGATGTGGTGGTATACATGACACAGAGACAGATAAATAGGGAAGGGAACCTTTGAGAGGACAGGTGGTGAGGCTAAGATCCAGAAAATGGCAGAAGTGCCGTAGAGGATCAAGGACATCAGTGTAAGTGGCTTTGGAATCACTTAACAACATTATTATTTTCCCTGTGGATTTCGGACTCAATCCTGTCCTATACGTAAAGTATTTGATTTCATTAAGTTCCAGGTGATAAAGAAAGTAAAGAAATATGAAAATTTAATGAGCCATTACTAGACTCTTAATTTTTGAGCATGCTCAAGTGCAGAGACAAACACACAGGAAAGAGAGGGAGGGAGGGAGGGAGGGAGGGAGGGAGAAATCAGACAACTAAAAAGTTAGAAAATGTTTGAATTTGTCTGAGATCAAAGTGCTAATAGATAGATAGAAGTAGAATTTAAACTTATATTTAAAAAATGAATAAATGAAAGATTTTGGGTAAATAAATATTAATGTTTCATTATCACCAGCAAACGAAAATTAAAAAAAATCTTCCTATGGTGAGTATAAAAATATGTCCCTTTGTTTTGTTTTGAGAGTGCTGGATTTCAAATCCAGGGCCTTGCATGTTCTAAGGAAGGAGTTCTAACATTGAGCACATGTCCAGGAGAGCATGTCAGGCTCAGAAGGTACACACAGGTCCACCTCAAACATGGTGATGGGTGTCACCAAGTTGTGGATCCTACATATGTTATTTTTAACATGGCAAAGCAGCTTCCTATGAAACATTTTAGAATAATATAAATCTTTAAAAAATACCAAGCAGTTTTAAAAGTCTATTTGTGTATTTTCTATAAACAAGTACATGATGATAAGAAAAAGGCTAGTCATAAAAAGCACGCTAAATTTTATTTCATAGAATAAGAAAAATTATTATTCAGTCTACCAGTGTATAAATTCTCTTCTATCTAAATAAAATTCAAATAAATAAGTTTTGTTTACAGTGTTAGTATGATGTTGATTTGGAGGACCTTTAAAGGATATAAATTTTTAAAGAAAAATTCAGTAGCATTTAATATAATATATATTTATGTACAATTGGGTAAAAATAGTCAATTAGTTTTTCTTTATCTTTCAGACACCCTCTGTATGTTCTGGATAACGAGTATATACAATGTTTCGTTAAAGATTAGTGGCTAAAGACATTTTAGAAGAAGGTAGTTGATACTCATTTTCCGGCCACACAGGCTCACATCCTTTGGACTTAAGAGTGTGTGTGTTGGCAAATTTAATTTTTATATGTAAGTTAGAACTATCTGGCTTAATACTCCAGTTTCATGAAAAAAATCAAATTTGAAGTTAGTCTATTGAAGTTTAGATATATAGCTTAAAGATAAAAATAAAAAAAACGGATTATTTGACATTATAACTAATTAAATGAATCTGGGTGTGATTTGGTGCTACGAATGCTATCATCTAAAAACTTCGGCATAATGACACAAAAGTGAGAGTATTGACACAAAGGGGAACACAGGAGCACATATATACCTTATTGACAAGGACGATAACCTTCCCGGATTCAGACGCCTGCTTCTTCTTGTCTAAGTGATCTTTGGTGATGTAAACAGCCACTCTGGTTTTCCCACTCCCCGTGGGGAGGCAGATAATAATATTCTTCCCTTCCAGAGCTGGTTGGGCCACTTCCATTTGGTAAGGCCTGAGCTGCAGTTCTGGTTCAGGAGATGCTCTTTTTGTCCCGATGATACTTTCATCTGAGGGAAGCAAAAATGGAAAAGTGGCGTAAGAGAAAGGCAACCAAGACACGAAGGTTTGGAAGCCCCGAAACTGCAGACAGGATTTAGCGGTTTAAGGTCCTGTGCTCTGTGTTCCAAACCACCTCACTTTCTGTTTTCTGAGTCAGCTCCGTTTTTCAGGGCATGATCCAGGTTCCCTATGATGGAGTGCATTAACGGCACTGCGACCTTGGGGAGGAGTTCTCAAAGAGAGAACACTTCCCCGCTTGGATCACAGAAAGGATGTTGTGTGGGCTTGTTGGTTCATGTCACTAATGCACGGGGTTTCTCAGGTCTTTGCTCAGTCTCTTGTCCTCTGGGTTTCTCTTAGTCCTCCTCGAGTTAAAGCAAGGCGGGCTAGAAAGGAAGGCTGATTAGTCCTCACTACTCTCACATCCGTTATTTTTTATTAAAAAGAAAGAAAAATATCAGCTGAAACTACTTCTTTAGTTTGCTAAAATATCATCTGATAACTAAATGCCACAAAGCACATGCCTGCTGTCATCTACTGGTATCTGTGGGGCTTTAGGAGCTTAGGGGCTGCATGTAAACTGGAACATCACTTGTATGTAGTGTGCATATATAGCTTCTTGCAAATTATTTCTCCTTACAAATCCGATATAGTGTAAATGCTTTATAAAAAGCCATTTTTTATTGTTAAAGGAGTAATGACAAAATATTTCTGTGTGTTCAGTATAAATTTTAAAATGTAGTTTGGATGCACAGTTGACAGAATCTGTACAGGTGGCACTTGCAGACAGGAAGAGGTGCCACTGTGTGTGTGTGTATCCGCACATGAGCGTGTGTGTGTGTGTGTGTGTGTGTGTGTGTGTGTGTGAGGGAGACAGACAGAGAAACAGAGAAAGACAGAGAAAGACAGAGTCAAAGAGACGGAGAATGGGGAGAGCACTTGCATTTGAGGCTACTAGGCTGTAAAGCACATTTAGAGAACAGTAGGAAAGCATTTCCTATATTGGCCTTTAATTAGTAATGTTTGCATCAAATGATACAACAGAATTGTATAGTTTTAAGCTAAACTGTCATCAATTTTGCCACATAGTTTTAGTTTGCCTTTTATTATTTCCTGATATGCAAGACTCCATACATTTGTTCTCTTGAAACTCAAATTAAAATACATTATGAGTATTTCCATAATGTACATTCTTAAATTTAAAAAAATGCTAACAAAGTAAATGCTAACATAGTGATTTTATAAATGCTAGAATAATTTCATTACGACATGTCTTGGTTTAGATATATTTTGTTCAGAAGGGATCGTGTCTTCCCATCTTCCTAGCCAAGAGGAAAGGATCTAAAATTCACCGCCCGCAACGTGGAATGCAGGAAAACAAATATTATTTCAACCTAAATGTCCACCTGTGCTTTACAGCATCAGAAAAGATGAGATGACAGTGCTTATCAGTACTTCAGCACGCACGAAAGGAGTGCTCATTCCCTTATCAATGGCCACAATAAGACCAGCCTAACACCACCCCATTAACTTTAAAAAACCTGCCGACAGTTCCATTTCCTCAAACCGTTGATTCTGTTTACGTGGGTTTTAACTTGCTGAGACAGAACTATCTGAACAGGTAGGAAAATTCACACCAAATACCACTTAGTGAGAGCCATCTACCAAGTAAGTAGGATATTTGCCTTCTACGCATGAATAACCACAGATGCAATACATTTAAGCTATGGTTGGATCATCCACTGAGTCGTTTAATGTTTCTTATGAAAAACAAAATCATCAGCATTTTAAGTTCACGTCCTAGTATATTTCTGTGAGGTTCAGATTTATTTAATGATAACAATTCGTTTCCACCAGGTGGCTCTTTTTGGTAATGAAAATTCTAATATTTCTTCTGCTAAAAGCATCAATTACCCAACTTTCCCAAAAGAGCAAGTTTATAATGAAAGATATATTTTAAGCAGTATCTAAATCAAGATACAGAAATCTATATCAATAAATTCTTCATTAATTTTACTCTATCAAAATTTTGGTATAAATTCAAAAACAATAAAATGTTGCATTCCTCAGAGTAATTGTCTATACTTTCTGGTAATAATTTTCCCACTTTGAGTGTTGTTTTCTATTGTATCGTTTGGTAGCAAAAGTTAGAGAAAAAAGAAACACACAAAAAAACCTAAGGATTTCCTAGATCTCTCTTCCAGAAGCCCAAAACCCAAATAAAATGAGTGAGCTCCCAATGCCCATGTCAGAGTCTGAAAGTGAAGTGTCTCACAGTCTCCTGCGTCCTTCGAAGGTAGCTCTGCTTTGGGAAGACACTCTGGATGGGGGTGGGTCTAGTTGGAGGAAGTGGGTAACTGGGCTGACCTGGGGGAAATCTTTGAGAGTTACAGCCTGAACAACTTGCTTCCTTTTCGGCTGCAAGAGAAATAAGCAGACAATTCACTCCCCAGCTTCTGCAGCAGAGAGTGACATGCTGGCAACACCATGGTGGACTGTTAGCCACTAAACCACAGGCTACAGTAATTCTTTCTTCCTCTAAGTTGTTTCTTGTCAAGTATGGGGTTAAGGGACGAGAAAAGAGAAAAATAGAATAAGATGGGTTTTTACTGTGTTATCAGAACTAAAAGGGATTAAAAGAGTCAAAGGTCTGTTGCTTTTAAGATTTGACTCCAGAACCAAAGTTACAAGGTTTCACTGCTACTGAACTGATTATGTACCAGTAATTCATTCTGAAGGCACCTATATATGCTACCTTGCCAAAGTGAATTTATTTCTCTTATATTTTTGGTTGTGAGCCTAACCTCTATCTGCTGAACCACCTATCCAGCCTGTGAATTTGTTTCCCAAAGGACCTCGGTATAAGAAACTGAGGTAATATATAATTTACAGGATATATCAGTCTAGGTAAATAAACGATCTTATATATTTTTGATTGAAGACTAGGAGGTCCAGTGGGCAGCGGAGAGATTTAAAACAGAAAAATAGAGTGGATTTGGAAAAGAAAAATAGAGTTAAATTCCATGTGAGAAAAGCATCCAAAGAAATATGCTGGGTTAGTGCTAAATATTCTGCCTGATTCTTGCCTTATCACATCTTTTGACACAAGGATGGAAAAAATCATCCATATAAGCAATGAAAAAAAAAAAGAGTTTCATCTTCTCTATCACCAGAAGGAGAAAACTGGGCCGGAATCAATGAGCCATGAGCCAGTATCAAGCAAAAACTAAATGATTCGTTTTGGTTTATTTATTTATTCTTTCCTCTCTCTGATGTAATCAATATAACCCAATTATGTAACCAACATGACCCAATTATATCATCAATATAACCCAGGTTATAATCAATTAGACCCAATAATGAAAATGGTATTTTAAAAAGTGACAGGCTTTGAAATACATTGCACATTCCCTTTAAAAATAAAAGCCAGTTGAAGATCTTTAAATTACATTACAACATGTAAATGGTCAGAAATGAAATGAAATAGAGTTTAAATAATAATATTCTATTGGAAGTACACCATGTGGCAAATTTCATTCTCACATGGATTTTGACAGCTGAGTTATTCTTGGAGAGGAAAGGTCTGCCGCTGCATGTGTTTGAAATCGACAAAGCATCGTCTTACCTATAGTGTGTAACCACGGGGGAAAAACATTCCTATTGGGCAAATATTAATAGACATCTTCTCAAAATAGCAGGAGGCACATTCTCCATATCAGGTCAATATGGATTGATAAAAGTGTCACTGCTTTAAGAAGCAATATATCTTTCTAAAAATGGGGGAAGGAGAAATCTGGTAACCTAATTAGACTATTTAAGCCTGAAAAGTGTGAGCAATCATGTTCTACTCTAGTATGATATGTCTACAAAGATCATAATATGATTGCCTATGTCACCTTTGAAGGGGGATTAATGATATGGAGATTAAGGTCCTTTATGACATCAGCCTAAAAGGTGAAAACAATTTCAGTTCTTTCAGTATTATTCAATGAGCCAATGTGCATTTAACCTTCCAGCAATTTGCCAAAAGCTCTTATTAAGCAACTTCTACTTGGCTTTAGTACACACTTAAGGGTCAAATATTTCACAAATGTTATCACTTTTCAATTTTATTGCCCACTATGCAAAATCATTATTTGCTCCTAAATATTGACCCATCTAGACCTTGAAGGGCATCCTTGGAAAGTGCATTTGCTTTTAAAAATGTTATTTGCCTTTGAAAATGTATTTGCTTTTCAAAAGTAGGTTGTGCTCAGATTTATCATGTCTTTCATGCCACACTGAAGTCTAGAAATCAGCAAATACATTTGCTAACAGCTCTAAGTAGGCAAAATGCCCTGCAAATAGAGGATGCGTTTTAGATATTTATTGAGTGAATGAATATTGTTGAAAAGCTCTTACTTAGAGAAATACAAATTAGGATAGGGCAAAGCAGCTTAAAACAACCCATATGGATCGTAACTATCAGCTAGAGTCTATTTAGAGTTCTAGCATCAGTGGCATACAGTAGAAATGGTATTAAATTTAACTATTTTGCAACAAAGACAGAATATCAAATTCAATCCACATGGAGAACTTAACACTGACCATACTGAACAGAAAACAAACTGACTTCCACCACTGTTTTTTAAATGACAAAGTCATGACTGACATTTGGTGAACTGGCTTTCCTCACACTAACTTATAAAGGATGCAGGAGTGCTCAGAGGGAAATATATATACATATATACATACACACACATCATATATATATGTATCTATATATGAAGCATGGTGTAATCTGACTTCAAACACTTTTAAGGCAAATGACCATGCCTATGCAAAATCTTTTCCCCCTATAAATCTGACAATGCAGAACATAATGAATCACACAATATTTTCTAAGTAGAAGCAACCCAATCACAAAGAAGAACAAGGTAACTTATTTCTTAATTTGTCAGTTTTCTTCTGGTCCTTAACTGGCTCATTGCCAACTCGTTTTGCTTGTTAATTTTTGCAGTGCATTTTCTTCAGACTTTGAGGCTAATATCGAAAGGTGAACAGTAGGACATCAATAACCCATCAGCCACAGTCAAAAGATGCTAACCCTCCAGCTCTCGGTAACCACACATTCAAGAGATAGAAAGAGAATTCGCATCGACCAAGCTGACAAGTTTGGAAGTCTAATAAGAGGAAGTATTGATAAAAGTGGGGGACACTGGAAGCAGGGGTTCTCACTTCCTGCGAGTGTGAGAGGCAGCCGATACGGAGAGTGGGATGGGAGATACCTACTCAAGTTTTCCTTTACTGACCAAAACCCCATGCTTGCTCTGCTACTCCTGCATCTAAATCAGATCCCACTCAGCTTTATGTGTGATGTCTAGCTAGACTCTCGTTTTAAGAGGGGCCCTATTTATTATCTGTAGTCACATTAATTTTGTCTGCAGTATTAATTTCCTGTCTTGGTACATTTGACAGTAAAAAATAATCCTGTAAGAGATAAATACGACAAACTTCACAAAGAATGTAAGTGCAGTTAAATTAACTCGAGCAGATCCCGTGAATAGTGAATAGAATAGGCTACACAAGTCTATGAAACGTGGCTTATGTCTGACCAAAAGACACACACTAGACCAAGATTATAGTTTCCTTGTAAGACTTGAGCAAGTTATACTGTTAAAGAAAGTAAGTGGCAAAGTTCCAAAATGACTCGCTGTTGAAAAAAAAAATTGCTTTAATTGCATAAATCCATTAGGGAGGCTACGCACAGCCCCCGTGCGTTCCACTCTATGGTGTCTTATTTCACACTTTTTTTTCAGGTTTACACAACAGTTAGGCAGTACCTGAATCACTTCCCATGGTGCCTGAATCCCTGCCCATGTTGCTGTTATGTCCAAGACTTTCATCGAAGCAGCTGACACTTCCTTCTGCCAAACTTGTGTCTGATTCTGCAAAGGAAAACATTTTAAAATATTTAAAAAATATTTCTGAGAATAAACGTATTTTAACTGCACACCTCTACAGCACACAGTACATACAGTTCAATGCAAGTGGGGAAGGCACACCCAAGCAAGCCTGAATAAAAGGTAAAGAGTTTCTCACAGGCTCCACTGAAAGCATTCCACTAGGGATGAGCAGCCGCCCAGAATGACTCAAATCCCCGTTACCTACCCACAGTCCTTCACACCCAACAGGAAAGTAAATGTGAATTCCTGCACATTTGTGGTTTGAATTATGGATCTTACCTGTACACATAACATAAATTCTGTCTCCTGAAAAAGAATCTCTAAGCTTAAAAGTAACATTTAAACAACAAAAAAATAGTATAAAAACCATTGGGCTGTTCTATGTAAAATGACAGTGGAATGAGCAAGGTGTAAAATTTAATAAAGTATACAGACCTGCTGACCAGATATTGAATTATCCTTTCAGAGATAAATAAACATGAATTTAAGGAGCTCAAAACGGATCTTCTCAAAGAGAGTATGACTGACGTTTGGCATTACATTTGCTAGAGTCTGTGAGTCTGGAAATGTTTCTCTTTACTATAATTATAGGAAGCTGCCATCCACCAGAAACATGAATGGCAAGTGTATGCCCTTCACTGAATTCCATTGCTGCTCTCCCAGGTCAGGGTCATTCCTTTTTGACATCCTTCTTTCTTTTCCAGCTTATCTCCAAAGATGTATGCCATCTCATTGTCAAGGATGAGCGCTCACATTCAACTAAGAAATCTCAGGGCACAGGAGTTCTTGAAGCTGACTTGGAATCAGAAAGGCTGGTGAAACTTGCTGTTCAGGTTGCTGTGATCCTAGGCCCCTCTTATGTAAGATGGGTGTGGTATCAATTACCTTTCCTAACTTGATAACTACTGTGCAATGCTAGACACAAAATTCCGCCGGCAGAAGAGCTTAATTGAAATGGAAATCAAATGATACTATTCTCCCTATATGTCCTAGGTATATTTACCCTATAAAAAGGATATCCTATCCCATTTTATAAGGTCCTTGTAATTAATTCTATTGTGTAATATTTATACTTATAGCTTGCTAGGCAATTACCATTTCATCTCCAAACACTATTAAACTTTACGTTATGATACCTGTTAGTAATTTAAAACTACGATCATTGTAATTCCACTTCTAGACATAAAGGCCAAAACCTATCAGTGTCATATTTTTTAGCACTGAAATAGAAATAGATGAAAACAAATACATTGTATATTATTGGTACAGCTTGAGATGAGAAGGAGAAGATGTACAGTTCAAGGTTACCAGTATGTTCTTTATTTTATGTGGTTAGTCATTCTGAATCTGATGATTATAGCTTCATTATAAAGGTCACTCTTTTTGAGTGTATGGTTAATGAGTTAGACAAATGCATCCCGTTCCGCCTGAAACCACTACTACAATGAAGATGTTTCTATCTAGTCCCTTTAAGCTTCTTTGCTCTCGATACTTTCCTGATGTCCCTTGTCTATCTCTGGTCTGGTTTCAGGCTCCACAACTTGGCCCTTTCCAGACTGTCATATAAGTGGATTCACGCAGCACACAACCTTCTTTTAACTTAGAGTAAAATATTTGAGAGTCCTTCACGCCTTGTGTGTATCAGTAATTCCTTGATTTTTCTTGTGTACCTTTGTCTCTATGGAGTATGTTCTGGGCATGTTAGGCCTCTCCCTACATTTTGATTTAGTCCATTTTTGTAGAAAGATATCATGGAATTTCAGCCCATGCTAATCAAATATGTAAGACATCATCATTAAAGATTAAAAGCTGAAAAGGAAGTGGTGTGAAGACTCTCAATGGACATACATACTGTTTAAGTATATTAGCACAACATAAATACACTAATGTGAAAATACTGTGCTTATCAGTTGTCATAGATTAGCTCCGGAACTCAGATTTGAGGAATCCCTCATGATTACACGGGAAAACCTGTATATCTCACAGAGAGATTTTAAATATGGCACTTTGCAATTCCCAGAGGTATGTCTTGTTAGAAGCTCAGAGGCGAGTGTGGGATAGAACTGTCAAGTCGAAGAGCGTTTTGGGCAGATGTACTGATGAAAAGAGAATATGATTTGTAAGGGAAAGGCAAGGTGTAAAATGAGATGGGAAAATGTCAGTGCAAAGATAATTCCACGTCTAGACATATAGGCCAAGATTTCTGTGGCAAAAAGTAAATTTCGGCATATTTTCCATTTGTTATTTTAAATGTAGAGTTGAGAGCTTGAGTATATTAAAGTTGCTGGAAAATGTCAATAAATACAATCTAGAAATTAGATATTGTTCCTGATAAATTTTTCCAATGAGTGCAATAGAAATGGAAATCCTATTTGACCTTTCCTTTCATTTTCCTACAGCTAGCAATTAAACTATTATCTTAAACTCATTCTCAGCATAAGTGAAGTCAAGATTTTTCCCCCAGCTTTCTTCTAGCATATGTAAGTTTATGGTGGAAGCTTTATAGAGAGTATACAGATAATTCATTGATAATTATTAATTGATAATAATAATTAGTACTGCTACTAAATACAGAGCGTGGTTGATTAAGTTCATTATTTGGTTATGCAGATTTCACAATCAAATCTTGCATGGTGTCAAAACACTGAGCTCAGAACTTTCCCCCCAGATGTAATGCAAATTATGATAGCGTCTTCTGCAGTAGACACCTCTATTAGCAACTCAACTTTATAGGTGAGAAACCAATATTCAGAGAGGTTAAACGACCCATCCATGTCACCCAGCATCTCAGTGCTTCACAGCGAGCATGGCTCATCATTTGTGTGCAGAGTCTGTAAGCTTCTGCATCCTTGATGCTAAAGGAACTGAAGCTCCCTTTAAGAAATCACTTTCATTGTAATGTCAAATTTTCCATAAAGCCCAAACCATCTTATCTTTCCAAGAAACAAGTTAGAGAGATGTTTGCACTTTGCTAATATATTCTGACTCATGGAGGGACACCAACTTTCACCCATCCCTCTACACTCACGTTTGCACACATAGCACCGAGGGGTGCTTCTGTCTGTGGTGCACAAACTCAGTTGCAGCAACTCTGTTAGAGATAGCTGAAACAGTCAAAAGGAGGACAGAGTGCTCCATTGCTTTGTTTAAGGTGTATACAAACCCTCAGCTTCTCCTCATGAAAAATAATGTAGTTTCCCTAGCAGCACATTTGTGTACAATTTTATTTGTTCTTTCTTAGAAATGGAGGTATTAAAAAGAAAACAAATTTAACAATAAAGAAAATAGGGTATCTCCAGAAACACTGAAACTTCCTTCCCCGAAGGTTTTCAGTTTGAATTCAATTTAAATAAGGAAAATATCCAACAAATAAAATAAAATAAAATAAAATAAAATAAAATAAAATAAAATAAAATAAAATAAAAAGCAATAAAACAAAAATGTGCATACACATGTGCATGAGCACATGCCCGCACATACACAGACATACACCTACAGAGAAGCAGTATCAAGAAATTGTTGATGTGCTATGTTACAGCAACAACAAAGAATGTTTTAAGATTATGTACCAAAATTGAATTGCTACAACTGATTTACTTAGAATTCTCTTGTTTTGTCTTTGAATTTTTCAAGGCAGGTCAATCTGGGAGGTTCTAATATCCATAGTCATGCATGTTTCCTCTTAAAGAAGACACACAAAATAGAGGCTGGAGGCAGGGCTTCGCTGTGAAGAGAACAGGTGCTTTAGAGACCATTGAAGATTGCCAGATCTGAACTCAGCCACTGCTCACAGGTGGCTTGCTTTTATTTAAAAATACAGATAGTTGCTTCTATAGTTTTAAATTTTATTGTAATAATGATCCTGTTAAACCAGAGACAAGCATTTTAAAGGGAAACAAATTCAAACTCTTGTAGACTTGTATCGAATATTGGAATCAAAGTGTTAAATAGGTTTAATTGATAATGACATATGTCACTTTCTTCTAAGGGAATTATCAAAGCCAACTATGAAATAAATTTGAAAATGGCACTCATGTCTATTAATATAGTTGTCTATATCGAATTCATTGGAACCAAAGAAAATTATACTTGTTCAATTAAGAGATAGAATGGATTTTCAAAATAAGAAAAAAATAAAGAATAATAACTTCACAATTAAGATAAAAACAACAGCTTTGCTTACAATGACAGTAAGTCTCTAAGAGAGGCTGAAAAATTCATGTGTGTGGGGCAAAAATCTCTTCATTTTGGAAACACGTTTTGAATATTTTGGTAATAGTAAAAAATATTACTGGAATCTAACAAATTTTGTATTTTTTAGAATGTTATAGACCTTAAATACTTTTAAAACATTTTTAAATCGTTTAGAAACCAGAAAAAAAGTTACAATAAAATACTGAAAGTGAAAAATGCGGGGGTGGGGGGGGTTGGTGAGTTTAGATTCATTTTAATGCAACGTCTGCCCTCTGCTGGAATATACTAGTATAGCAAGCAATGAACAAATAATACTGTGTTAACTTCTCCCTACAGGTAGACTTTCTCCTAGCCTAGAAACTTTTCACTCTGCAGACTCTACCTTTTCATTCTTGCAACAACCCATCACAGCTTCTCCATGATGGAAAGTGGATTTACATCCAGCAGGAAACAGCCGCAGGGAAGAGAACTTCCAGGTACCTTGGCGAAGAACACTACTCCCTGTTCTATTCTTCCCGGAGCTGGTAGGGACAGGGTCTACACCTCACTGAATTTCATCTCCCAGTGTAGTCTTACTTTTCTCTAACTGTGACCTTGCCTTGTACTTGAACCTACCTTTCCTCCAGTTTCATAATCCTCTTGTCAAAGATTATGCCAAAAGCTTGAAGCACATCCTCATGTTGGCACAGACCCAAGGCTGCGTGGACCCCTTAAATGTGCTTACTTTCATACTGCTAATAATACATATTTCCCTTTCTTTAGAAATAACAATCTTTTCTTTGAGAGGA